CGCGTCCTTTGGTCCTGCAGCACCTCCACCGCGGGTTTTTCCCCTACAGCCCCCGCCCCCGCCACTGCTCCCGCCGTCTGAACGCACACCCCGGCGCCTGCAACCCAAAACCGGCCGAACCGTGGAGTACGGAATTTCCATCTCGGACAGGAGCGCGCTCAGCGCCCTGTATCGTTACGCGGCGGATGTGGACTTGGCGTACCCGGAAAGCGGTGTTGACTTACCCGTCGGTCACCTGCTCCAGATCAACCCCGCCGATCCTGAACTGCCGTGGGTCGACATCGTCTACTCGACCGGTGCCCCCAACGGCGGCTCGGCCAAAAACGCCTTTTTCTACACGGACCTCCTGGTCGACAACGCGGGCGTTCCCGTACCCTGCAAGAAGAGACACACCACATGTAAGTCTTGATGCTACGCTCTCGTCGTCCAATGTAACCTTCCTTTCAGGTCAAGGCGTCAAAGCGTGTCCCCTCAACGACGTGGAACGACTTGCCGGCCCAGACCACCAGCATACGTCCGCCACGCTCCACGACATCGAAGCCCGCCTCGCGGCCGAGCGCGCTGCTCGTCAACGCCTGTCGTGCCCCCGCCGCGACATCCTCCTGCGAACGGCGTCGTACATAACCGCCGTACGCAAGGTGGGCTGTCGCCGGCCCCGCCAGCAACCGACACACCGTAGCGGCGAAGAGCTGAAGCAGTGGGAGGCAGAGCAGGCCAAGCAGCAGTCCTTCCGCCGCGGGTACACACCACCGCAGATGTGCGAAGGCCGTATCGTGTACCACGAATATCCCGACCCTCAGCATGGTGATGGTCGGCCGCGCGCATACTTGAGGTGCGCGTCCCGCCTTTTGCTTCTGCGCCTGGCTAACACATCTCTCACAGCTGTGAGCATTACTCGTCGCGGACCCCCGACCACTTTGTGGACTTCGGCATACAAGACGGTGCCTTCGACGACGACTACATCGCCGCTGTGTTCTTGAACCACACGGACGAGATCCGGCGCATCGAATCCGCCGCCGCGGATCAAGACGTCGGGCCTCTGGCTCCATGCCATACCCTTCTCAATCACTCAGCTCAAACCGTATATTGTCGTGAGTGGACCCTGTTTCCCCGCCTTTTCTGGCCTTAACGAACTTTCACAGCAATCGAGCACCGTGTTGACGGTCGCCTTGCCGCACAGCAGCTGTGCCATCTCGACTGCGACGTCAAATTTCGCCTCTGGTTCCCGACGGACAAGACCCGATGTCCCTACGTCCTCGTAACGTCTTTCGGCACCCACCGACATCCCATTCCCCTGCCGGAAAAGACGCCGCAGCGCGCCCACCTGCATATAACGCGCCTCCTCCGCTCTATGCGCCACGATCTCCCCGACATGACGGCGCGCCGGTTTCTCCGCCATCCCACCGTGGGGAGCTTCCTCGCGCAACTCTTTCCGGATCTCGCCAACCCAACGCTCGCCACACTCCATCCGTCCCTCGCGAATCGCGCCCACCTGGGCGCGTACGTGGCGCTTGCGAGGCGGGAGCACTTCCCCAAAGGCACCGATTGGGAAGGTGATTTTATTTCATGTTCTTTGTCCCGCACTTGGACTTACAAAGCGCTTCTGTAGGCATTAAATACCTCAAGAAAATCCAGGACCGGGACGTCCCCGCGCATCAACACTACATCCGAGTCGTCCTCGAGCTTCCCGACGCCGACCTCGCCCACCACGAGGAGGACGGTGACGCGCCAGCCGCCACGAACCCCGCGCGCATCATAATCTGCATGACGCCTGATTCCAGCAGGCGCCTGCAGCAAGCCCGGTATCTGCAAAGCGACATCGGCTTCAAGCGGATCGTAGGTTTCGAGGAGTTCGAGATCGCGTCGATGGACCGTGATGCCAACGCCAGTGCGTCCTCTTTTTTTTTCCTCCTCCCTGCCCGCAATCTGACCCGTTCTTTCAGGTGTCGTCTTCTGCAGAGTGTACGTGACGCGCCAAACCGCCGCCGTACACCAGCGGATATTCGACGAGCTCAACAAACTTGTGGAAAAGGACACCGGGACGCCGCTGCTGTGGCGCCATCTCCATGGACAACACCCCGACGACAGCGGGGCCGGGCTGATACTCCAGTGGGGCGCTGACCAACATCGCGGCCAAGCGAAAGGTGCGCTATCCTCGTCTTCACGTCCTCATCATGCCCATTTTCTCTGTGCAGGTCTTGGACTCCACCTCGTCGCCCGAGCCGCTGAGCTGCCCGCGGACGCAATGGATATGCATCAGCCGCACCGCACGCTGCGCTCGCTCACCCCATACGAGCATCTGCAACGCGTTTACCGCGTCTGTAGAGTCCACAACTTCCGGAACATACAACAGTGCGCCGTTCCAGAGGCCGTCCGACATAAAATGCGCTCTCTCGCGTGCGTCACCCACCCAGACTGGGAGGGGACCCTCGAGCAGATTCGTCGCGAGGGCGGCAGGGCCGGTCAGGGTGCGCCACCGCGTCCATCTCCTCTCTCTCTCTCCCCCTCACCGTCCCTCAGATTGGGTTCGCGACAAGGAAACCTGCCAATTTGCGTTCGCTGGCATCTGCTGGCAACGCAGCTTCATCCCCCTCGACATCTGGCGCGCGGGCGACGCAAACACCAACCTCATCGAGACCGTCCATCGCGACGTCAATCGCGAGGGCGTCCACTGCACTCTACTCGGCGGCCTACTGCGCGGGCAAGACTACGACGAAATGCAGCGCGTCGCGCTCATGGAATACGAGGCGCACGGCATCCGGCGCTCATATTCCGCCGCCCATCCCGTCACCAACGCGGTCAAAAATGTTGTACGACGAAGTGAGCGCCGTCTTGACTGCGGCTTCCCGCCCAGGGTTCTGACATCACACGCAGGCAATAATCAAGCACATCGGGTGGAAGCGCAAAGTCGGGGCGTCGCCACGCACAACAGTAACATGCAGAAGTGCGACCAGAAGTACCGCGCTGCTCTCAAGACGCTGGACCACCTCCGCCGTCTTGTCGACGCTCCGCACCTCAGGGCGGCCCAGTCCCAGGCGGCGGTGCGGCTTGAGATCGACAAGGCCAACGCCGATGTGCGCTCTGCTTCCACCAAGTACACTCATCAAGTCCAGGTGGGCCAGCGGCTGCGGGACGAGGGGCGAACGGGCGTCATCTTACCGAAGTCCACGTAGAAGGCCGGATTCAACCCCGTCTATTCAATCTCGGTACTGTACGCGCCCCCGCCCTTTCCCGTCGCCTCTGCCGCGGCGACTGTTTCCTCTCCGTCCCGCGGAAGACTCCGGACGTTTGATCACCATCCGCCCATCAAAAACGTGGCGCAACGTGGTGGCGGACTTCTTCTCAGAACCACCACGACCACCCACAATCTCCCATTCCTCCGTCCTCCGTCCTCCGTCCTCCATACGCTCTGTAACCATCCTCTGCGAACCTGGCTGCGCGCCTTGCTCCTCTCCCTCCTCCACGTCGTCCCCGCTCGTGGTGGTGTTCCACTGCGACACCTGGCACGGCGACGTACAGTGGCGCCGACGTTACAACTTCCGCGTTTTGCCCAGCAACGCAGGTCTCCGCCGACTTCTCATTCAGGCCCCACACCTCGTTCACGGACCTCGCCGCGTCTTGGCTCTTCTGCGACCACGCCGTCCGCGGTCCGCCGCGCTGCCCATCTTTGCTGGCGCTGGAGCGGTCGACGGTCGCAAGCAACCACCCTCATCCAGCTCTCGACGGTAGCAGCTGCTGGTATGCCGCCCTGTGCACGTCGGCGTGCAGCGAACCGGCGACGGCGACCTCCAGCGGTGAGCGCGCAAGTCAAACGTCGACTTCTGCCTGCCCGTGAAATTCGACTTCCGCCTGTCCACGCCATTCTCCGCCGACTTCTCTTCCAGGCGCTGGGGTCGTCGAAGTCCAGCTCGTCCGACCTCCGCCGTCCGGCTCCTTTATATTTCGTGAGTCCCCCATTGCGACACAATTGTCTCCCACTCACGATGAATCAAACCCAGTACTACACGTCGCTCCCTCGTCCTCAGGACGTCGTCGCTCCACCCCCCTCCGCCGCTCACCCGAACGCCCACGTCACCGCCGCCGACCTCGCCGCCGCGTCCGCCGACCTTGTCAACACCGCCGCTGCCACGGTCCTGCAATGGGCCCCCCCCAATGTCGTCCCCACCGCACCCACTCACCACTGCCTTCAGGGCCGCTGCGACATCTGCAACGCCCAGCACCTTGTCGTTTTCCAAAACGCGCACGGTCCCAATGGGCCGCAGACTGGGCCTCTCCCGCACCGGCGCACCTGCACACCGCCCTTCTGCCCCGAGCACCCCGGCATCGATGTCTTGACGCACTCGCTAGAGGCCGGCAAGGTCTTCTACGTCGCCCTCCCTGCCCGCCACGAAGCCATTTACACCTCCGCGTAGGTTTTTTCTTCTTCTCATGTTTGATTTCTGCTCACCCTTTCTTTCAAGCCAAATGGCCCGCGAGCAAACCGAGGGCGTCCACAACGGCGTCGCCAAGTCCTGCAAGACCTGGGACGAGGCGAAGGGACATTGGATCCTCGGCTGCCTCCGCTGGCACGGCAACGAGTGCCGCCGTGAACGTCTTCAACGCGCCGACGCGACGGGCAAGAGCTGGGCTGTCCTCGGCACGGACATCGTCTGCGGCTCCAGGTGATTTTCTTTTCCCTCCGTCGGACCCTGCTAACCATCACTTTCAGAGCGGCCGCCTTCCGCGTCGCCCAAGACCGCGGGTTCGACGACATCCGCATTCGCGGCCACCGTGACGTGTCCGTCCTCCGCAACTGGTTGGAAAACGGCAGCAGCGACGAGGAGTCCTCCGACGACGACTAGCGGGAGGGAGGGTGCGCCGATGTATAATATCTACCGTTTTTCTGTGCACGCCGTATGAAATAGTTTCTTGTATCGCATGTTTTTGGGCTTGTTTTTTTTTAATTCACAAATTTCTTGGTTGATCAGAACTAATTATTTTGAAGTGCACGCTTCTGCAAGGGCTCTCTGGCGTATTGGTAGCGCTTCATCGGCCGTTTTTCGGCCGCTCCCATTCCTCGATGAAGAGGCCGGTTCAATCCCGGCGGGAGCCATCCATCCTCCATCGTTGTGTTTTGGTGCGTGTGCGGACATTTTTTTTCACAATTGCCACAAGTACGAACTCGCGATCTTTCTTAAGGTGTATTTGTACTTCATATCCTCCAACAGTTGTAACATTAGATATTGAGTACAGTAAAATGTAATTACTTTTCTTGGGTGCGAATTCAGCCCGAGGTTCAGGAAGGAGGGTGCGGCGAAACAAGTTTAAATTGCTGAGATTGGAATGAGTGGGTGGAAAGAACTAGATAGGACTAACTTGCATACCTATGACTTTTTAAGACGGAAAATGCACCGGAGGCGGGCGAATGCCGTCGGTGAAGTCTGGAGGTATTCGCGGTCGATCGCGCCTTTTAGGACGACGCTCGTCAACGCCGACCCACTCCGCTCGTCGTCGATTGAGTGCGTACCTTCTGCGTTCCTCGTAACTTTCTCGCCGCTCCCCGCCCGTCGTCACCGCGGCGGCGTCACCGCGGCGGCGTATCGTCCGGCTTGTCCTCTGCGTTTGTGCGCGCCGGTGCTCGATCTCGTTCTTGCCGGCTCGTCCTCTGCGTTTGTGCGCGCCGGTGCTCGGTGCTCGATCTCGTTCTTGCCGTCTCCGTTTGCCGCCGCCCGCTGCGCTTGGTGTCGCTATCTCGTCCGCCCGCTGCCCGCTCGTTGTCCGCGCCGAATCCCGTGGCTAGCGCTGCGTGCGCGCTTGTTCTTGTCTCGTCTCCGACGCCTGTGTGCACGGCTGCACCCATCGTGCACCGGGCTCGTTCTTTCGCCCTTCCCGTCGTCGTTCACGCTCGTCGTCGTCCACGCTCGTCATCGTCCGCCGCGCGCACTGCGCCCGCCCGCTCTTCGCCGCTTGTTCGTCTTCGTCGGTCGTCGCCGCTGCGCCCGCCTTCTGCGCACCTGCTCGTCGCCGCCCGCTCGCGTGTCTCGTCTCCGACGCCTGTGTGCACGGCTGCACCCATCGTGCACCGGGCTCGTTCTTTCGCCCTTCCCGTCGTCGTTCACGCTCGTCGTCGTCCACGCTCGTCATCGTCCGCCGCGCGCACTGCGCCCGCCCGCTCTTCGCCGCTTGTTCGTCTTCGTCGGTCGTCGCCGCTGCGCCCGCCTTCTGCGCACCTGCTCGTCGCCGCCCGCTCGCTGCGCCCGCGTTGTGGTCGTTGGCTGCTCGTCGTCTACGACGTTCAGCCTCTACGCTTTTCGTTGGTACCTCTTCGTCCACGCCCGTCCCGCCTTGCTCGCATGGCACGGAGCCGCCAACAACGTTTGGCGCCGTTTTTTACTGCACGCGCCGCCGCCGGTCCGCAACCCGCGTTCGGGGCGCTTGCTCAGCTGTGGGTCAGCTCTCTGCACAATGAACAGAGCTAATTTTTCAGCGTCAATCCATATCCGCACGACGCACCTGGGGACGAATACTTCTTGCGTCGCGACAGCCGCGCTGTTCGTCGCGCGTACAAGATGGGAAAAATATCGAGAGCTCGTTACTTTGCCGCCGCAGAGGTCAAGATCGGCCACTCGAAAAACTTGACGCGCCGTCGCCGCGGGTACCGCAGATGCGAGCGGGATTGGCGCTTGACATGGAGATTTTCTATCCATACGCCAACGCGTATGCTGATTGGTGAGTTTTCCGGCCTTGCTAGCCTTCCCGTTTCGACGCGCGTCACCCTTGCAGAGGCGTTAGTACATGAAGAAGTTCGCCAACACAGGGCCGCCCGCGTGCGCTGCTCCTGTGTGATTTGCCATCAAGAATTTTACCGCGCTCAAGGCGTCGGTTGGGTGCAGGGCCTTGTGGATCGGGCAGTCGAATGGATGCGTCTTCTGGGGCAAACGGCAGTCATTCAGGCTATTCCGCGTAGATAGAATTTACCAAGATGTGGCGTTTATATTCTTTCGTTCCCGAATGATACATTGTAGACTCTGGTAAACTGTACAGGCTTCAGAACTCTAAAAAAATTGAAGAATTCTAGACTCACCGCTCCAGCTTGCCTATAATTTGTTCCTTGCATCGTCATTCACCCCTGCTTTGCTTTTTCTTCAAGCCCGCCGCTCGACTCTGGTGCAGACTCCAGCAATCATCCTTTAAAACGGCCCAGAGTAAGCACCTACGCGATGGCCTTCAATTTTGCGGCCCTTTGAGCGTGTTTTGCGGGCTTTGACCTGGCCGGAGCCCTGTTCCATCGAGTCAAGCTACAGTACAGACCCTGCGGAGTTGGGGCCTACTTGAGAAGTCGCCAGCCCAGGAGGAAGTGCAAGCCCAAGTTCTTCTTCAGCGTTGCACAAATCGGCAAGGAATTTTTCGTATTCGTCTTCGGACGAGATGTCCACTTGCAAAGGGAAGTTTTTCGGAGAGCGGGGAGTGAACGGCGAGCTGTCGCGTTCGAGCTTGAGCGTGAGCGTCGGATGATTGCCTGGAGAGGACATGGATGGAGAGGACATGCGAGAAGAGCTGTGATGGTCACGTCACAGAGCACAGCCACTTCCGTTCTTGCAACCACCCACATCGTCGCTGGAGTCGGGCGCAGCGCGGGCCTTACCAGAGGCCCGCGCTGGTAAGGCCCGCGCTGCGCTGTGGCTGACCATTGACACCGCTTTTCTGCGGCCGCTGCAGCTTGAATCCCAGGTGCGCTATCTTTTCCTTACTCTCCTTATTTTATTTTAACTTCGTTTTAGGTTTTTATCCGCATAGAACTCTGTGGAACAAAGGAAACACACTTTGGCCACGTCAGCCTGCACCGCAGCCCGCAGCGCCTACTCCAGTACCACCACCACCACTACAGCAATGTCTAGCGCTACGACTCGTAACCAGCGACGCGCCCGTCTCCTCCGAAGCGGCCCGACTCACAACCTGCGCAGCGGCGAAAAGCCCAGGGCGCCACCAAAACAGAACTCTCGCGCGAAAAAGTCGAACCCTGGCGCTGCGATCATCGTCAACCCTGGCGGTGGTCCCAGCCCCGCGCCCACCGATCATGGGGAAGACGGCACCGATCATGGGGAAGACGGCGACTGGCGCCACCCTTGGTGGTGGTGCATCAATGGTCCTGGCTTTGTCCTCATCACTCGCGACAGGTACGCCTGCCTCGATTTTCTTTGGCGCTGCTACTCGGCCTGACGAGCGGCTGCCAGTGAGCGCATTGAGGGCGTTCTGCGTAATCTGAGCGTCGAGGTGGTCTTCCGTGTCAGTTTTGACGGGGCGGTCGCCCAAGCTCGCGAGCATCTTGGCGTTGGGCCAAACGCGCGCCTCGTGTACGTGCTAAGCAACGGGGGCGTCAAGTCCAGCGAGTAAGTACATTGACTGTAATTCTTCCGTCGCTAATGTCTTTTCTCTCTTGGCAGGTATGCTGCGCGTGAAGGCTATCTCAAGATGGAGAAGCAGGGCTCCTACCTTTGCTGCGGGCGAGACCTCCCTGGCCTCCAAGGATGCATGGAGCTGCTCATCGCCCCTACTCTCTGACGGCGTCCATGGACCCTCGCCTTATTCTACGAATGCTCGATTATCCTTGCTGCGCGTCGCGATCTTACTTGTATACATACCGTCCAAAAGCTTGAATGTAACCAGAATGCAATGAATGTAACTAGAATGCAATGAACAAACTCCTTTTTGAATTATGCGAGAAAACTTGAGGCAGAGCGCGTTAGGGAATTTTAGTTCGCCACCACTGAGCGAGTGATGATGGGATCACATCACTGTATCGCCACATCTCGACTTGTCAATTTCCACTTCACTCTACTTCACTCTACTTCGCTCATGGTAGGGACACCGTCAGCATCTGGTATCGACGCTAAACCATTGTAGCCTTCTACCGTCGTCACTGATAATGAAATCGAAATCTTGCCCGACCCCGACATCCAAATCGTGCCCGACCCCGACGTCCAGATGCTCGACAACCGCGGCCGCCAAGCCTCGCCAGCAACGCAGCTGCATCTCGCTTACCTGACGAGGTTCACACTTGTCCAACCGCCTTTCCATCAGGGGCGTATTCAAAACACGGCGAGGACAAAGGTGAGTCGACCTTCACTGTCTTCTTTTAACGTGCTCACCGCAGATTTTTCAGAAGGTCTTGACCTATCTCGCGCAGGAGCCCAAGATTGAAAAGCACAAGCTCGCCACTTTGGAGCTCTTGCGGCGCGTCTTCCGCCAGAATAAGGAAGATCCCGATTGGGCTCGCAAACTGGAATGCACGGTGCGTTTCTTTTTCTGTTCTATACTGCTGGACGTCCCAAACAACGCGCCTAGGTCTGCTTGGCGAAAGAGGGCACGGCCAAGGTCATCCTGTCCTGCGGATGCCGCGACACCATCTTCCATCAGGTACGTCGCTCGTCTTGGTTCGCGAGCGAGCCAATGCGCTGACCGCTCTCGTGAGCAGGGCTGCGTGGAGGCGTGGCACCGCCAACGAGACGCGCAGTGCAAGAAAACCCTCAAGTGTAAGCACGTCCGGCTTGTTTGGCAAATATGCATCTTGACGCGTATATAGGTCCGACTTGCGACAGGCAGGTCAAGCCCATCAACCTGGAGTGGGCCACCGCGTCGGAGGCCGAGCTGGAGAGCTGTGCGAAAAATGACAAGGCACGCAAGAAGGCCGCGAAGAAGAAGAAGCTGCAGACCGATCCGGCGGCCAAGGCGAAGGCGCACCAGAAGGCCGAACGTCGCTTCCAGTCGATTCGGGACCGGCGCGCGGCGGCGGGCCAGGCGGGCGCCGGCCCCTCTTGGCTGCCGCCGTCGTAGCCCCTTGGGCGGCCTGATCCATCGTATGTACTGAGATTGCGCTGAGATATTACTTGTACTGTTTTTTTTTGCAATAAATCCGTGCTTTGTTTCGAAATCGAGCCTGACGTTGAGGAACACAACGAAAATTGTATTCGGGGTTTCTGTACACATAGTGCGAGCAGTAGAGATAGTAGGAAATATGTGAATACAGAGGTCGCGACGGAAAAGTGAAAGTCTGAGTTTGAAGGTCGTACAATATCTTGGCTGTGTTTAGCCTTTGAACGAGGCATTTTCATG